CCATGTCTCAGCTTGGGAGTGCAGAAAAGGAGGGAAGGATTTCACCTCTCACACTCTGTCCTGTAACCTAAGTACAAAATGTGAAATATAACAAACTTCTGACCTCAGCCTTTATAGCCTGATCACCACTGCTTTCATAATTTTTTCCCTGCTTGTTTTTCAAAGGAATTAAGGAAAAGCCACATCAAAGAAACTTTAAACCAGTCACAAAATACCAAATTCTAATTCCTACAGCAAACATGACTAAACTGTTACACATAAATACATTAAAGTTAATCCCACCCAGTGATCTACAAGGTGTTATTTCTGCCAACAAAACAGTACAGTCATAACTGTCCTCAGGGCATTAAACTGAAGTTCATCCACTTTGGTGCACTTACATTTTTGGCTTCTGAGCACTACTGCTAATACCTTCAGATCTAATAACATAAGGGGAATTACAAAAAGAGAATGTCTAAATGATTGCAACTGTGACCATGTATCCGAATTATCAGAAGCTCCAAGCACAAGAAGCAAGTGGGTTACAGAACACAGATCCACACTAAAACTCTCCAATTATTAAACAATTAAGCCCTATAGTCCTAGTAAACACACTGAGGAACTGTGCTTACTAGTTACCATCGTCCTCGACTGAAAACTGGTCTCAGGAGAAGACAAAGAGGACGCTAAAAGACACTGAAATGCATGGCAGATTCTAGAGGAGTCAAACCACATCATGTCTCCCCAACACACCGCTGGTCGGAACAAGTCTGCGTGGAGTAGCATCAGGTTGCTTTTGCATTCTTTCAGCTCCCAATAAAGAGGAATTGGACTGCTCTTGCAAACCCTCTTCAGAGTTAAAATACAACCACCTCACCACTGCCAACTTTCCAGCCAGCCAGGGAAGTGCTTCATCTCTGCCGGGAGGAGCCGCTAGAGAATGAGCTAAAGCTGTCTAGTCCAGAGTGCTAGGCTACATTGCCTTCAGTGGCCTTCCCAGCTGTTTTCCCATCTCTGATCCTCCACAGAAGACGTTATGCTGACACCAGACTGACAAAATAGCTCTTGCCTTACTTCTTTAAGAGGTGCGTATGACACACGGTCCTAGAGGGCTGGCGATACCACCCCTCCAGCATTACCAGCACCCTTGACAGCTGAAGTTAAACTTTGTGTAACTCCCCGGACACCCTTTATCAGGCCCCAGGTTTCCTCTGCAGCTTGGCAGACACTTTTGGTACTCATGCTTACAGGAGTTATCACGTGCGTGAGTGCTGCGCCAGGTCTTGCTGCAGGTGGTCAGGCTGTGCTGGTGCAGCTGCCTAGCAACAGATGTTTCCGTATACCCGTCATGAGAGGGTCAGCAAGGCCAGAGATAAAACCAGCGGTGATTTTCCACTGCTTTGTCACTGGATAGGAACCCTATAAGCCCTCTACGGTAATCAAAGTCAGTTTCTAAGAAAGGACTCTGTCAGAGAACTAACCAGTGTAAACTACAGATTAGGTCCAGCCTTTTGACAGCAAGGTATGCTTGCTGAAAAGCCTCCTAGCTTACAGCTGTGGTTAAAGCAAACCATCCTCCAGGATGGAAAAATAGAAGATTTTTTCCTTCTAAGAATCAGTTATGCAACAGACTCTGGAGGAAAAAGAAACACTGGGAAAAAGGACCAGAAAGCAAAATTCAAATCATGAATTCCATCAAAAGTTTCTGCAGAAATAAAGACTAAATCTCTGTATAAACTCAAGTATGTAAGTGAAACTTCACATAATTGTAAATGTGTAATGAGCAGATTATATTCATCGTAATTAGATAATCAAGTTCAAAGCCTCAGCAGCACATAGGAAATGGCAAAAAGGTTTATTTTTAGATACTCGATACCAAAAATTTGTGGAGCACAAATCAAATCTGCAATGCATAACAGGCTCTGCTGCTTTGACCCACATAAATTCCTCTCCATGCCTCTGCCTCTGCCAAGCCACCTTTTCACAATGATGGCCACACAGCATTTCCTTTCATCTCCAGCTCCTGGGTTTCCACTTACGTTCTGCCCACCAGAAACAGCAGGGTGGACAGCCACACCTAGAAGCACCATTGCTGGGGGTAAGCAAGTTGCTTATTTTTAAGATCAGGCAGTGTCCTACATGCAATTTTGCCAAGAGGGCAGCTCACAAGCTGCTATAGCACCTACTTCAACTGAGATACAGGAGATGTTGCTGATATAACCAGAATGTCTAGGGTATCACTGAACACAGTTGCTAACAGCCATTAAAAGGGAGATGAGATGAGCAGGGCCTCCCCACTCTGTCATGGATCACTGAGCACAAATATGTCAGCCCCTCCTTTCTCAAACTTTCTCCTTACAGATGCACAATCCATGGGGCCAACGTGCTCCACCTCTAATCCCTGAAGATGGGCTTCTGCCTTCTTGTCTGCTTGTTTCAGACAGGCACCTGGGAGTCCTCCTGAGCAGATTGTTTGGTCCCCCCAAACCCTTTCAGCATGCTATTCTCCAACTCCAAAACAGTCTGCACAGGGAAGGAGGAATGGTGGCACTCCCATAGACACAGCCTGCCACTGCCACACAGCATGCTCAAAACTTTAAAAGCTTTAAAATCTATAGGAGGCAAAGGCTATGCTCCTTCAACTTTAAAACAGTCAGTTTAATCATAATAGAGTAATTTCAGAAATAAGACTTCCAAAAACTGTTGCAAAGCTAGCGCACAGCTCTCTACTCTGTCGTGCATGGTTCTTCCTAGGTGTGATGATCCAAAGTGCACTGTAAGAAGACCAAGTGTACCAAAAGGGATGCCACTCAGTGATATTTTTGTTGTTACTCACAAAAATAGGCTGAAGGAGAATATAAGAAAGGCTAAGGAAGACAGAAGAGGACAGGCAAGGAAAGCCAAATCCGTTCCCCTGCAACATTCCTGGCCCGTTGGGCTGATGTTGGAGAGTTCCTGCAGCCCTTGTGAAGAAGGATCCATCTTGCCTCAAACTGCAGACTGGAATCAGTCTAGTTGCAAGATGAAGCCACACCAGTGCTCTCAGCCAGAGTGAGGCCACCACCCAGCCACAGCGACTCTTCCCTAAACCCAACTCCCCATCAGAAAGAAGCCAGACTTCTGGAAAGTTTACAGGATCTCCTCAATCTCATAATCTCTTTAAGAGATGCAGCACCTGTGGCTTTTGAAACATTCAAAGTAACATTGGAGAAAACAGGCAGGAACAACAGAGCTTAGTAAGGTAAGAGCACAGCCAGTCCCTGAATTCCAACATTCTTGATATTAATTTAAAATTGATAAAATGCTTTGCTGACTTAGAAAAGAAAATTCAGTTTTGGTTTCTTCATTCTCTTGAGGGTAGTAATCAAAGCTGTACAGACGGAGAACACTCACACAAGGTACACTGTCTTTCAAATTTTAGTTACTGTTTGGCAGCTGTGGTCTGCCTTTCCAGCCCTCTGTGGTGTGAGAGAAAGGACTATATATTGGATATTAAGCTCAACTCTAGTCCAGTCTTTCTAGCGCTCACATTGCAAAGCTGGGTGTGCACTTACATTTTCTGTTTATCTGTACCCATACCTCTTACTCTCTCTCACCACCCCCACCTCCTCCAGACACTCACACTCCCAGGCTGGAGTGCAAACACGGCCAGAATTTGTCCTTTGGTGATTCAGAATAATTCTGAGAAGTTCAAGAAAAAAGAAAGAAAGTAACAGACAGGGCACTATGAAATCTACAGAAATGAAGATTAAAAGTAGGAAGGAACAACCTGAGCTCACTAAGAGACAGTCTGAGTGCACATATGTAATAGAAATCATATACTAAGTAAGAAAGCACAGCCCAAGCTATCCACTTTGCTATTTTCACAATCAAATTAAGGACCCTAACAATCCTGCCACAGAAAAGTTTGTCCTCTGCAAACATTTAGCTACATAAGATCATAGTCCCAGCTGCTGCCCATATTTCTGTAAACAGAACATCACTCTGTCTTTGCTGCATGGCAGACTTATCAGTAGCAGATACCATGCAAGGCCTCAAAGAGATAACAGGCATATTATCAGCAGTGAGTGAGAGACTCTTTCTTGTGAAAGCCTTTTTTTTTTTTTTTTTTTTTTCAGCAAGCTCTCCAGACATCCCACTTGAGGTGTGAAAGGCCTGGAAACTGCTATGGCCACTTCTGCTGTTTCCATTTCAGCTATCCACAGAGAAGTGATTAAAAAGTTGCAGCGTGCTCTGCATCTTAGTAAGAAAAATCTCAATGCTTTCACACAGCCGTATTTATTCTGCACTCAAAAATACTGTTGCAGTTCCAGAGCCAAAATATTTTACTGCACTCACTGCTCCTACACATGCTCCTGTATCTAAGTAGAGGACACAAAAGTGAGATTATTTTTGCATGGTAACAGTTGGGCATTAAACATTTCCAATACTTATATGGTGAGCTCACAGGGCATTCTCCAGCACAGAAAGCACCATGGAGTCCAACAAATGCCTTAGGTCTTTGGCTCACTTTCATAAACAAGCCTTTTCTACTTTCCATCCCCACTGCATTCAGCAGAACAAGGTTCATATCAGCACAAATCTCCCTTTGTGAGTAGCTTTAATGTAATGTGTTACTGTGTGAGTGGAAGGCCCTGCAATATGGCCAGGTGTCCTGCTTTCACTCTGCCGTGAGGATGCTAACCTCCAGCAGATGAGTGTGGTAGGCAGACAGGAGCAAGGACACAGCAAGCTGTCACAGTAAGATTCATGAAATCTCATGTATATTTTTATCCTTCCTTTTTTCACCTTCCCTTCTTATTCTGAAATTAACCAGTATCCACATGGAAAGCGCACGACCCACTCTTAATGGAACTGAACTGCAGAAATACTAAAGGTGTATGAAAGACAACGTATCTACGCACTGTTGCATGTACTATAAAATATACCCTGTGCTCTTGCACTCTCATTCTCCCAAAAAAGGGCACAGGAATGATCATGAAGCACACATTGCTTTCACCTCCACTATTGGTATTGCTTACCTTCATTAACTGCATGAGGCTTAATAATGCAACAAGTACAGTTTGTGAATTTTGCGCTGCTGACTGGTCCATGACCTCCACTGGAGGGAAAGAACAACTCCAGCTCCTGAAAACAATTGTAATTGAATACATTTTAGATTGATCTAGCTGCATACATCAACTTTTATCGTAAGTAACAACATCTGAAGTATCCATAGTCACAGAAGAGAAACTTTAATTACAGATTTTTGTACTACAAATACTTTTTCCCTATAATATTCTCTCAAATATATCTTTCCCTCTCTGGCACCATTGCTACAATCATAAAAACATGATTTGAATATTTCTTGAAACGCTTTTCTTTTCACTTCTGCCATGCAATCCATTTCAATTCAGAACATTCAAAATGTTGTTGCCACAAACATTTAGTAGAGGTGTTCCCAGTTTTCTGAATTCTCTCTCTCTTCTGTCAGTATCTTTCCCAAATCCACTCGTATATACACATATTTTATCTTCCCTCTTTTCATATCAACTTTTCCACTATATGAGCAAAAATGCAACAACCATCCATTTCTCAGCATGTTTTCTTTCTGTATACAAAACTGATCTCCATCCCATTTGTTTAGATTTTTTTTCATTTTCTCTTAAACAACTAAACTTTGTCTAAAATCATTGACTCACACCTTATGCCTTATTGACCCTATTTATTTTTTTTTATCTTACTGAATTGAAGCTGATGAACTCAATTACTCTGATTTCTGGGATGAATCAAAAGAACCTCTTTGCCTCTGATCACTTCCTTTCTTCCCACCATCACTATTCAGGTATCACATAGCTTGGATCTTAGACCATACTGGGGTGAGCTTGACAGCCAGGTTTCTTTCCTCAGTGATATTTTTTCCCTGTTCACTGCCAGCTTCACACCTTCTCCATACCATTTATTCGCATATGTTACACAATCTGCCAATTAACACTAGTCAAATGCTCAAAACACAGATTCCATTTCAGACCTATTGGTCAAATTCAGTAAGAGAATTGATAAATTTCTATTTAAGAGAAATAATATTATCCTGGAAATACTACTACTGAAACTATCTGATTTTTTCCTGTGTAACAGTAGCAGTGCTAAAGGACATTTCCTGCAATTGCCTCATTTAATTTACTAGCTCAATTCAGATGGAATAGACTTAGCTATCTCCCAGTCTTTAGCTTATGGCACTCTGATGATTTCTGTAATGCTTACTTGAACAACTATACAACTCAAACAAATGGATCTTTCAATAGAAGGGAAAATGGTTTTTCTTTTTCTCCGAGCAAATAATCCACATTTTAAGTGGGCCCATCTGAGACAAAAGGGTTCATTTCCTACATCCTTCTACTGAAAAGATGCTGTATGCTTCAAAGACCTTGTATCACTCTAACTAATGTTTACTCTAAAAGAAGCAGCAAGGAAAAGGCAGCAAAATATTTACGATATTTAAGACTTTGTTTTATCCATTAAGAGTCATAACAGGAAAGTAACTAAATAACGCTGAAGGACTAGGATAATGAAATGCCAAACTATAACCAAGTGGAGCCTTAAAAAGAAAATTCTTTTCCTTTCTCTTTATTCCTCATCTAAAGAAATTCCAAAATTTGGCCTGCAAAGAGACACCAGCTTAGAGTATGCCAGAGGCATCCTTTCACTTGCCATTTAGCCACCAAAAGAACAATGCAGTCTTTCACTCTAACTGTTCGGTTTACAATATGTTCATTAAACATGGTTGAGACTTCAGCTTTCCTTCAGAAGAGTTACTTTAGGTCTCTTTAGCTTATATTTCTTTCTTTTCAGCAAAGCTTCTGTAAGACACAGCCAACTGGTTTCCACAGCAATTGCTATACAACCATATAATACTGGGCCTACTAAATTAAAACAGGCATAGGGGTATTCAATTCACAATTTTGGTTGATTTATTGAAGAGTGGTATCAGTGACACCACAAAGATGCACACACCTGCAAAAGTTCAGCAAAATAATCCCACAGCCATAAAAATGCTGCAAGATGAATGGGGCCTTCAAACACCATTTCAAAAATAATGAAATGCAAAAAGAACAACTTAAGCCAAAGCACATACTTATGCTTCTAATCAAAATTTTATGTGAATAGATACTCTTTCCTACACTCTTGGTTCAAAAGCAGGCACAGTTGTCATGGCAGTACACAGGAACAAGGAGAAACTTTCACCCTTATATATGAAGACATCCAGCTATTTAACCAGAACTACAAAGACTTTTCTGACTATAATTCTCCTTCATCAGAAAAGATCAATTTCATCCAAACTCTTTCTGACTCTGTACTGTTTTCATCAAGCCTGCCAGCAGAAAAAGTACTTCAGGTCCAGCATATGATTTCTTGCCAAAACCAGAGGCACACGGAGAGGTTCCAGCAGCCCAGGCACTGTGCAGATAAGCGAAATGAGTGCTTGACCAGCAGAAAACTGCCCACGCTTTGCAGTTAGCTTACTATGCCACGCAGCCTAACAGCCAGCTAGAAGAAGTGACTGGCTAACTCTGCCCTCACTGTCAGGATATAATCTCTACATATATTTTCTAGTATACAGTACTTGGCAGCTTATTAGGTATTCTGGGGCAGGTCTCTCTCCAGCTGTGCTACTGCGGCTGTTCCAATTTAAATAGAGGAAAGACTAGGATCAAGGAAGCAACAACTGGTATCTTTTCCGCACCGCTCTAGAGCTAAGGCACCACAGTGCAATACCAATCAATCATGAGGTAAACTTTATTCTTGCCATCATTTATCAGCATACATACCTACCCCACAACAACACACACAAATAGTCAACTCAATTCTGCAGAAATGTTGGTAGTATCTATCACCCAGTCCCTTGGCTTTTTCTTAGCACTAAGGAAAGACACACTGCAAACCAAACAAAAGAGAACCGAACTCCTCAAAGCCAAGCCCACTGTATTACCTCTCAAACCACAAAGCACTACAAAGTGGCCTGTTTTCATAATTATTCATTCTGAACAATAACAGCAGAGGAAAGTAGGCTGCAGGCAGAAGACTAGTGAGGACTGTGGAGGAGAACAGATAAGCAAAGCACAGGAGGGCACAAAAGGATTTAATTGTTTAATCCCTTTCTTTTTATGACCAACATTGGTAGGCTATAGGTAGATTACGCAGACTATGCAATTAACTCAATGTTTGTAATGTACAGAAGACATTAAAAATGACCAGGCATGCTCTCCTGATCAAAGTGCCCAAGGTTCCCCTTTGTGACGGAGATAAACAAGATTTCTGTTTTCAGACAGTGTATTTTTCCATGCTAAAAAGGATCCATGAAGAATATCTAAACTAGTTCTGAACTCAAGTGGGGAAAAAAATGAGGAATTCCTGACCCAGCTGTTACCAGATAATGTAAAAATAAACCTCAGCCAACAAACAGTCAAAAACTTACTTGAGCAGCTGAAGCAACCGAATCTGGGCCGTGAGCTGCATTTCTTAGGCCATCGTGTCCAAAGTTCACTCTAATGCTGTCTGGTGCATCAGTCTGAGCCACTGCAGAGTTTGCTGGCCCCAGTAACGTTTTCCATTTACAAACTGCATCATCTCCTAAGATTTCCATAGCAACAATGGGACCACTCGTTATAAACTGGAGAAGCTCACTGCAAAATGGAAACAGCACATGGTGATCCACACTACAAATTAAGACCAAAAAACCCATATGATCCAGTGGAGATGCTCAGAACTCAACTCGGCAAGGCCTTGAGCAACCTGATCTAACTTTGAAGTTGGCTCTGCTTTGAGGAGGAGGCTGGACTAGGACATGTGCAGACATACCCTTCTTATTACTGTCGTAGAAAAAGAACCAGATAATACAAATTTAGTCAAGCTACTCTGTAGTATGTTAGATTTCAGAAGAATTTTTAAAAGATCAGTACTGGCAACAGTGGAAGAGACCCTGCTAACCATTTGTTTGACAGGAACAATTCCTAAGCATGTCTTCTGCACAGCAGGATTTCAGGATTCTCACACATGACCTGTCTGCATTCCCCACTGACACAACTTCAGCACTGCTGTCAGTACGGATTGCTCCAGTGCCCCGTGGATCTCTCCTGTGGATTTTGCCCAGCCAAAATCCAAAGTGGGAAAGAAGGGAGAAGCAAGATTTAGAAAGTTTGCAGGGGAGAGGGGACTTAACCACACAGTGAGTTACCATATCCTGGCATAAGCAGAACTCAACTGATTTTAATGGGATGAATCTGAGTAAGGAGATGAGGTTGTCAGGAGCAGCCTGTCTCCTGTCCTGACGACCTCACTTATACGGAAAACAACCACCCAAAATTGGAAACCCAAGCATTCTATTTAAAAATTAAACAAAACACTGTAACTATAATTCTCTACCTTTACAAAACATGCATACCAACAAGCCTGCCTTTTCACTGTGTAGTCTAGACAGAACCAACAAAGGAGAAAGTTGACTCAATGCTTTTTGTACTACTTTCTTAAAAAAAGAGCTTTACACAATTATAATTATGGATGTGTATGCTTCTCCAACCATCTTCTTCCTAATGATCATTTATGCAATGATCAGCGGGCAAGGAGAGAAAAGAAATCCTACTAGTTCTTCGCTAAGGGAACGATATTGAAACTATGAAAAGTTACATAAACATAAAGAAACTACATAGGGAAAAGCTATTGGAACTCAGGTTCTGTTGGTCAGAGACTGCTTGTCTAGGATGCAGTTAAATGGCTTACATACACCCAAGAAAAAAGCAATTTCTACAACACTGCTTACTGTGCAGACTAATCCTGAATATTAGATAATTTTTTAAAATTAAATTCTTTAATACGAAAAACATTCTTTTCCAAACAAGGAGAATTGCTATTTTTCCCTACTATTCACTAGACTTACAATCTTGGGATCATAAGCATCAATCTGGTCAGTTATGGAAAGACTAAGGTTTTTCATGTTAGGTGAAGCATCATGGAAGTTTGATGTTTTGTCCAAGGGTAGCAGTACAGTAAACAACTGCACCATGCACTACCCTTTCAGTTACTTATGATTTGGGGTACTTGCTACCAAATCAATTCTCACAGCTAAGTGTTCTCCCTAGTTCTCATTACCTGCAAGCTCCACCCTGATCCTGAAGATGCTCCTTCCCTCGGCTTGAAGTTTCGCCTTGCTAGGAGCATTTTCACTTCTGAGACCAAAGACATTCCCCTGATATCATCAGGCTGTAAAGAGTGTCAGTTAAAACCCTGAATAGCTGAAATAAGGATCTGTCCCTGGAGGAAGATGAACAGGGTGCATACTTTGCAAAGGGCTCCACTCAGCTAAGACAAGTTCTGATTTTCCCATGGTTCTGCAGTACCAAATACAGCAAATGAATCCTGTGCATTCAATAAATAAGCTTAATACATATCAAGCTGAAATTGATATACCTACTTATAAAAAGGTTTTGACTGATGGTCTACGTAGAAATCAGCTGCTTCTTTTCTGGAAGAGTAAAAAGACATAGATATAGAAGTATAGATATAGCTACATACACACACACACATATAAACCCCTCTGAAAATCACAAACTCATTCATCAACATGTTTCTACAGGTAATGTTTTCCCAAGCTGGACAGATTGTGGGGTGTTCAGGTCCAGTAACAGAAACTACATTTAACTTTCTTTCATGTTTTGTGTGGCTACAGGTATAGCTTGTAGCTGACTCCTCCTTATGCTCCTGCTGTGGGAAGGAAGTAATGACTGAAGCCCGTAGCGTGGACTTTCAGGGTCACTGATGGTCCCCACATTCTCAGGTTAAGAAATAAATGCAACATAGTCACCTTCTTGCCAAGCCATTTGCTGTTATGTTGTTTTCATCCTTCATCTCAGTTTGAGTGTGTATGTTGGTTAATGAAGTTAGGTTTTAAAGCATAAACAATCTACCTGCTTCACTGGAACTTATTTCCTTATCAAGGCTAGTGTTTGATTACACTGGTGCACAACAGAATATTGCGTAACCTGGTTTCTATTCAGTATCCTCAAATGTTACAAGTCACATAGGCAGCACAATGCCCTCCAGATTAAAACTTGCTTTCTCCCACGCTTTCCCACTTGAAAACTCAATTTGGTCTTGGGGAACACAGCAGTTACTACACACTGCTTTCTCCCAAAGTAATGGAGCTTCTGTAATGAAGGGGGCTCCTTACTTTGCCAGGCAAATAAAGGCCACCAGGCATACACAGTATGTCTGTGCCACAGCTGTTACTTAGCCTTTAATCAGGTACTGGAAGCAAAAAGGTACTCTTTTCAGACAGGGTGGTGGTCCTCTCCAAGCTCTGCATTGCCACAGCCACACCACTAGCAGCGCTGGGCTCAGCTACCCAACCACACAAGTTTCAGAGACCATGGTGCAGACCCACCATCCATCCAGTAGTGGGCATTCCATCCTGCGGCTTTTCACCCCACCACCCCCTTGCAGCTAACCAAACTACTCTCTTCCCTGCTTTTTCTCCAGCTGCTTCTCATGTTTAACTCTTGCTTTCTGCATTGCTTTTTCTGCATGGCAACAGCTAGAAAAATCCATGGAGGTGTTCAAGTTATTTTGCAGCTTCAAAATTCCCTTTCAGAAGTGCAGGCTTGGTCTTGGCTTGCTCCAAATTGTGGTGTGTACCACCTTCTGAAGCTGGAGTTTGTAGAGGACAAGTTCTTCAGGAGGATTGACAGGTGAAAGGAAGCAATATTGCTCACCCCTAGTCTGGTACAAAGTTCGTAATTGAAGCAGAGCTGCAGGGAGACTAAAAATTTGGAAAATTATTTTTACCTGCATAAACAGTCTTCTGATTTTTTCCTGGTCTCCACGATTTTGCTCACTTGAGCAGCTCTCTTTAAAGAAAGAAATTACTTGCATGTTTTTCAAATAACAGATTCCAAGTATGAACAAAGGCATGGTTCTGTCATCTGCAATGGAACTTTTCACATCTCTCTCCCGTTTGCAGTCCAGACTTAAGCCCAATATTGCCAAAGGAAAGAAATAACCTCAGGAAGAACGTAAGAATTTAATTTTCCTAACCTTGACAAATATTTGAACAGTCAGAGCTTTCTCCAGTTTTTTTATCAAAATGACCACTTGCTCATTGGAACTGAATAATTCCTGGTTTGTTGCTTTCAGTTCAGTGTAAGTATAAGCCATTCAAAATTCAAAAGATTTTCATTGACCATGCTGCTAATATGCTTTCCTTCCATTTCTTAAGGCAGAAACATGATTTAAAAAATATGCTAGTCACTGGAACTCTTGCAATCTCAAGCTTCAAGCCTACGCTCTGCAAATAGCCTAAAGTTTTTGCTTACAATTCACTATTTCACCAGAAAATCCTCTTCTGAAACTAATTCACCAAATAATTTTGGAAAGCAAATATGAAAAAGGTATGCAAACAGATTAAGTGTTATCATTTCTGAATGTGAAGAAATATTTGAGGGATATATTTCTGAAACAAATTGAGCTCTACTACTCCGTTAAGAATTCCTTTTGCAATAAATATAAAACTGCAGTTGTGCTGTGTAACTTAGTTCCTTTTTCATTTCATCTCTCTCATTAAAGAACAGAAAACAGTGTTCATCTGGGAATAATAGACTGAACTGACATATGAGTAAATGAAGACACTAGAGAGCTGACCTGTGAAAGTGAGGGCAGGCACCTGCTTTGATATCTTGGCTACAATTTTTACAGAAGGCATGAATCTACTTAACAGTGATTGCCAGACAAATGTCAGTAATAATCCCTTTAAAGAAAGCAGTAGATGATGATGCTGGTTTGAACAAGCATGCCTGCAGACATCTAAGGGTAGAAGACTTTGGCAAAGCCATAGTTCTATCATTTTAAAATGGCACGGTCCCAAGAAACAGTGTATATAGCATGCAGAGCAACCACAAATACTCAAGACATTGTTTTAAATACATCCAATATCACAGCCCAATCTTGTGCTTATTAATAATTATTTTCAATTATACAAGACAAGCAGAAATTTTCATATTGCAATAGGCAATAAAAGTTCAAGTCTCAAAGTTTCTTCCCTTCAGTGTGAGTCAACTCTAAAGCACGTGACTTGGCTCAACAGTTCTTCCAAGTTCTCAGACACACACTGAAATAGAGAACCACTGAACACAACATTACAGGATCAAATCTCTCAGACTGCAGGAGAGCAAGCCAAAAAAAGCTGGCTTGAAAGACATTGTGAATTGTAAATCAGCATTAGAAACCTGATTAAACTCATGAACTGGAGTTGTTTGAGGGAGGATCTGGGACCAGTATCATCTAGCATTGCAACAGGTGAATGCAGAGACAAGAGGAGGAAGTCACATAGTTGTTTTGTCCATATTTCAGAAAGCCAAGAAGGTTTTGAGGTGGGGAAAATGATTCGTGACCTCACACAGAAACCATAAGTACACATGAAAATTGTATTACTTAAGACAGTTAGCTTTTCTTTTCAAAGACATGTTGTATATGAACAGGTTTGGCAAAGCAGCACCAGAGAAATAGTGCAGTAACTTTGGGGAAGTCTTCTAGGGTAAATCATGTTTTCTTTCCTCTGCAGCATGCCTTTTTTAAAATCTTGTGGCTCAATGAGATAAGTGGAGAACAGTGACATTTGGGCGGGATTAGGAAGATACATGAGTAAAATGTGTCTAACTCTGCAACAGCATCAGAAGATCACTTGCTTTGCCTGGGACTTCCAGTCATTAAAAAGCAAACAAGTTTGGGCTCTGAGAGCACAAATTAAGCTAATGGATTTAGCGAGAGCGAACAAACCAACTACTTTAACGACAACGCTGTTATAGTCAGCAATATGGTTTGTATCAGGAAGCCATGAGGCAAGGACATACAGACATGTCAGCATTAAACACTGCTGAATTGCTAAAGCTACAGTAGTCACCTTGGATTCATACAGAGACATTACATATTTAATCACCCATACTCATTTGCACAGAACCTTTTAATACTTCGCTTAATTCTCTACATGCTTTCAGAAACTTACATGATTATGAAACTGATGAGTCTTCCCTCTATTACTCACTGGAATGGATTTGATGTGTGGAACAACACAGGATAGCTTCAGAGAACGTTCTTAACTGCAAAAATAATATTTTCATACAATAGAGCTAACCTTAAAAATTCCTTACCTTGAAAGCACCATCATTTTGGCCTTAGTTATTGTAAATCCTGCATTAATAATGATATCAATTAATTCTCCAATCTTGGGCATTGCATCAGGTTTAATCAAAGCCAGTGTTCTGGGGAGGCAAAAAAAAAGGTAGAGAGATACAGCCAACACTACTTTCCTTAAAGGATTTGGTGTGCATGTTGCGTTTATATTCAGACAAGAAACCATCACATCAAAGAGAGAAATTCCGCCACAGTCAAACATCCTAGTCCCAGTGTCTCATCAATTTCCACGCTGTTCTTGAATGCCTGCGCAAGACATTATTCTGATAAGAACTAGCTTTGCACATTATAATTTCCTCTGCTTTCTAACCCAAGTCAGCCCACAGTGTTCCACCAGCAGTCAGTATTTACTGGCTTCTCCCTTCACTCTCAGAGCAAACAATTTGACCACTTCTTCCTTAGCTAGTGTGTATCTCTATAGCTCCTCACTCATGGCTCTAGCTTAGAACACAACTGATTGGTTCATGTCTCCCTATGCTTGCTCAGCTCCCTTTTTTCCTAATGTTAATCATTATATACATAAAAGCTAAGCTGTTAAAAATCCCTGTTTAAAAATACTACTTGAACATGTGCTTCTTCCATAAAACTCAAAGTGAAGTGATTGTTTTATTATTACTTTTAAAATATTTGGAGGCCTTAGTGAGAAGAAGGTCCTATTGTGCTTGGTACAGTACAAACATTTCATGGTATACAATTTGCATGCCAAATACCTGACACTGTTAATAGACACAATAAAAGGTTGGCAGAGGAGGTATTACGTCTCTTATACTGACTGACAGCTATATTCTAAGGGAGACCAATCAAAAAATCTCTACACTCTCCCCCACATCTTTGTTTCCATGTACATCCTGTCTTCTTGATAATTATCTTTTTATACTGTACATCCCTAAGGCCAGGACTGTTTTATTAGTGCACTTTACATGGCACCAACTACACCATAGCACTAAACATGTTATTAATAAAAAATAACAAGCACAAAAAGAAGCGCTGCAAAATGGCATTTTCTATTTGCATTCATCTTGTGGTGAGTCAGCCTCAAATGTGCTCAGCTTACAAATCAACAGATTTATTCAACCCTGTATCTCAGAAACTCCATGTATCTGACAATCCTAAAGAGGTCTTTCCATCTTTTACAATAATGAAGGCTACCCAAGATAGAATTTTTTACTGCAGTACTTCCCTAAATGAAAGGCAAATAATTGGAAATTTCTCATTTTATATACCAGCATAGCATGGAAAGCAGCCTTTGGGTTAGCAGCCATATATTCTAGCCAGGGCAAATATGCTAAGATTACAGGAGATGGATGAACTTCCACTACATTTACTTTGAATCTTAAGTGACCCCACATTGACAGACAGACTGTCTTTCAGGAACAGAGAGACTATCTATTTCACAGCAATTCTAAAGGAAGGGAGGTGTTAGGACAGGAAATGTGACATATGTTCAAATCTTCCTCTTTACATTTCACTTGAAACTGAGAGAGAGACGTAGATGACCTTCAGACCTCAGAAACAAACAGAGATTTCCTCAAGCATCAGGAAGCTCACATACACAGACCAGCTTAGGCCCAGATCCGTTGGGAAATATGACACAAAAAGACTGATGGTCTAAGGGTGTAACCTGAAGCTGCATGAGAGTAGTCAGCCAAGCCTATGCTTCAGTCCACTGCAGTGCAAACTAAAGTTGGTTTAGCCCTATCTTCAGATCAGGAAAGGCTGACCTCTGGCCAACATTCAACACAGTTTGCCAGCATACTCCATGCAGCCTACAGTCTGTAGCCTGCTCCCCTCTTCCCCAAGGATTTCACAGCTCCACCTCATTTTGTGATATTATTTATCATAGGACAGGGTGCATCACATCAGGGGGAGGAGCTGTGTGCTTGACTGATGACATGTACCCACCTGGTCACAGAATGCATGACCTGCATCCTGGCATAAGAGGTTCTCAACTCTGTCACCTACCATGAACAGTAAGGATCAAACCACTGGAATGAGATCTCCAGTGCCATTTGCATTTCCTTGAGGAATACTTTTTTGAATCTATACTATTTCACAGGCTATTTGAGTCAGACTGCTAATGCTAGAAATGTCCCTTACTTTCGTAATTTCAAGCGTTCTAGTAAAACTGTAATTCCTACTAATATGTAATGAAATATTGCATTATGAAGCAATTTACCTAGAAGACATTATATAAACTGCAATGAGCAACACTTACAACATCTCTTCTCTAACACTTTAACATTTCAGTGTGAGCTTCTCAGAGGTATGCAGGATAAGAAAAGTATAATTCAGGAAGCTGAAGACCGTTTCTGAGATTGGATTTTGATCCATGCCCTATTTTTAGTTTTAATTAGGAATACATTTCTTGTGGTTTGACATGATGCAGTCTGCAAAGTACATTTTGAAACAGCTTTATGTCTAGGAACAAAGGAGAAAGAATGAAAATTAAGCTCATTTGCTTACATTTTCAGAGGGACTGTACGACAGTACCGCAATGAGTACTGAAACAACAGAAGATGAGAACTGATCAAAGGAACAGTGCACAAAGCATGCTGTGGCTATGCTTTTGAGATCTACTTATTTCTAATAATAGGACTCTTGCATGTACAGTAGCTTATGTCTTGTAGAGGAAGAAACACTGATTATGTCAATGACTAGAAGCGTAAGAATAACATATCCCAATCAAAAAAGAATTCAAATACTTCTGGTTGAGACACAAGCTTTCTAACACCATTTTCAAAACCAATGATATTAACTGACTCTAAGTATAGTCTACTTAGACAGGACACACTAGTCAGATAGATTTTACCTGAGGTTACAACCACCCAGGATCACAAGTGAAAGATGACAGAAACAGAAATTCCTGTCCCATGCCAGTGATTCCTTATGTGGTACCCCCTAAGTAAGCACATGCTTACTTACCCATTTTAGTCACTGTTTGTGATGGTTTCCTTATGATACACTGGGAGGGGAGCAGGGAAGAACACTCAAATATGTCTGTATTTAAAAATTGACCTGTAGGGTTCGGCGTTCGGAAGATCTCGCGATGTCACGGAAAGTTAGAGGGTTAGTCGCAGCCTTATGATGTATCTGTAATCCCGCCTACCCTGGTTAGTATAAAAGGAATTGACTGCGCAATAAAAGGGGGAAGTTGGCGCTCACACTGTGTGTGTTATCTGTCTCTTTCCCTGGTCTGGGGTTGATCAGTGATCTAATCGTGGCACCTTGACATGCGGCGAACGCTACATTGACCCAAGACTTAAGCAAAGTAGGTGTAGAAATTGAAACTCCATAGAACTGTCTTAATAATTTTAGCCTAATTCCAGGAAGGGCGTGTGCAAATCCAGCCTCTTTTTACACATCTGTTTTGTACCTCATGTACCTGGGGTCACATTCACTTGCTTTACTAACAAAAACAAATGTCCCTAAATCAAAACATACAAGTTTTTTTATATACATTCCTCAGTGACCCTCAATGGCCTTTGCTGAGCCTGTCCGCATACATATTCAGTGACCAAAGAACATATTTCCAAAGTCGAACTGAACAGCTGATAGTGCCGCAGAGCACAAAGACAAGAAAAAGATGGGGAAATATTCTGCCTCATACAACATCCTTAAAAATATTAATAGAATTCCAACTACAGATTATTTTAGGAGTTATCACATATTGCAGAAATCTTACTATATCTATCTAACTAATAGCTGCTGTAAAACCTGCTAGGAACAGGCCAAAAAGACAAATACCTCATATGCAACTGTTTTGCCCAAGGACTGTTTTACTATGACCCTGTTTACCCAGTGAAAGCTTCTGTGAAGAAACTGGATTTTGAGGATCCCTTGCCTATTTAAGACACCTTTCACTATGTTCCTTTGGGCTATTCTGAATATGTACCACCACTTGCCTATCTATGTTATCTTTCAGCCAACATTCCTAAAATGTTTTCCAAACAGCTGACATGTCATAAATTCCCTTTCTTCCTTTTGTAGAGCAGTACAAAAATTCACCCCCTCCCAGGACCACTTCAGTGACACAACTATAGTGTTGCTGTATAGATGGCAAGTACCCTTACCAGAAGAAGAAAATGTCATTTTATCACAAGCTGCCTTTCTTGATATAACTGCATCAGCACCAGGGCTTATGCTAGTTTAGGCAGAGCAGGAAATACACAACTATAAAAAGTTACATTGATATAAAAACCATAAACAGGACAGATGTAATCTACCCAAGGTTCCACTGAGGAACAGAGAGAGTAGCCACATATACAGAAGCTGTCCTCTGGTGTTCTCCACCTCCTTTGCTACTCTTCCACCATTCCCAAAACCAGCCTGGAGAAAAAGTACCTGGAGAACTCCTTCTGGAAGGATATCATGGCAGTCATTTCCACGGCAATATTTTTGTGAGGTTAAGACAAAGATGCGTGTTAAAACTTGCAACTCTTCCTGTATGTCTGGTTATGTACACCTCTCCAAAAAGAGTTCAAAATAAGCCCAGTTAGTGGGAGGGAGCATTAAAGTAGATGAATAGGGCTTACTGGAACATCATGCCTAAGAAAATATTCTGTGTTCTCTTCAAAAAAAGCTGGAGCAAATTATCAAAATTTATTAATTTGCAAATTCAGAGATTACCTGCACTGCAGTCAAACCAGATTTAAATTCCTTGTAAATTAATCTGTCATTTTAAGTCTCTCCTGATTTTTTTTTCTTGGATGGGCTCTTACAGTCTTTTGCAAAGCAAGTCTTTCAATCAAAAAGAGATTATGAGTCTTATCTTTATCCATTATAAACAAAATTTGTCTTAACAAACAAGCCTATAAGTTTTATTGACATTCTTACTTTATACTTCCTGTGCTCATGCACATAGAGTTTAGGAGGTGCTGAAAAAATTCACAGAAAAAATCCTCCATAGTGAGAAAAACAATGGAGAATGGGAATGGGCCTCTCTCACTCCTGTTCCTACTGTTTTCAGTTACTACTACTAACACAGCATAGATCTGATTGGTAAGGCACGAGGCTTCTGCACAGATCCCAGAGAGACAGGTACTAGTTTTGCAAGATCCAGGCCTTTTGAGCCCAGCACACATCAGGGTTACCATATCAATTCTGCCCCAAGAGAATCCATATATCACAAGAATCCTACTGCTGCCTGTCCTGGGGGAGTAACAAAGCTGAACAGGACCCCCTGTTTTCCTCCTCCCCCTCTTCTCTCCCAAGAGACCTAGAGGAGGCAGCAGCTGACACCATGGAGAAGCTGGCCTTGCAGATTTATCACATAGCAATGGGTTTGGCCACAAGCAGGGCCACTTTGCTTCTCTCCAGCTATCAGTATGCCAGATCACTTCAAACTGCATGCAAGCTTGCAGCTATCTCTTCCTCTCCCCATAGAGCAGAAAAATTGCCTCATTTCCAGCAAAGAACAACTACTTTGAAATCCCAACCACAGAGGAAGACTTCAAAAAATGTGATTTCTTACCTCTCTTTGCGGCTCCCCAGCTTGCGGGCTGTATATTGATCCCCATAGTCCACTAAGGATAGATGACGGGAAAAAACAGTAATTTTGTTGCCCACAAATAAATCCTCAAGGTGTAAGCTCTCATACTTGGTGCGCTTCAGAAAGGTGCGACGGTTCTTCACATCATACTGCAGAGAAAAGAAGATTAAAATCTACCATAGCAAGAGATTTAAGCCGTGGGCAAACTCAATATAATTTTTACTCCACCTTCAGAAATTTCCATAGTACTGTGGGATTGAATCTGATCACTAAATTGATTTAATTCCTAACCTTTTGAACTTACAAGTGTACCAGGAGAGCTTAGACGATTAAACCACAATTATAAATTTATTCCATTTAAACAGTCTCAGGCTGACAGCTATCTTCACATTTTTTATTTTATCATTTGCTTGTGCTAATTCAAGCTGTGATAAATGCCTAGTGGATACCTCTGCCCAGCCTCACTGAGAGTTCCCCCTAGCAGATCTATGCTGTTTCACAGACCAATGGCTCGCACCAGGAATGATCAAGATACACACTGTGGCAGGGCTCCTCTTCCGGGCATCGTTCAGTGATACTACGCTTTATTTGACTGCATAAGACTCAGAATTAGGGACGGATGGATGATTGCAACACTAGGTTGAGAC